GGCCGTTGACCGCCTCTCCGCAGGAGCCGCGCGAGCCGCGGCCGGGGGCCGCAGCGCAGCCGCCGCAGCCGCAGCCGCAGCCGCGGTGGCCGCAGCCGCAGCGGGCGCGGCCGCGGCCGGAGGCGACGCGGCCGGAGCCGTTGAGCGCCGCGGGCGCTGCGCCGCGGGCGCTGCGCGGCGAGTTCCTCGCGCCTCGCTCCTCGCTCGATCCTCCTCGCTCCTCCTCGTTCCTCCTCCTCCTCCTCGTTCCCCTTCCTCCTCCTCCTCCTCCACCTGGTTATCATCATCATCATCATCATCATCATCATCATCATCATCATCATCATCATCATCATCATCATCATCATCATCATCATCATCATCATCATCATCATCATCATCATCATCATCATCATCATCATCATCATCATCATCATCATCAACATCATCATCATCATCATCATCATCATCATCAGCATCATCATCATCATCATCATCATAGCACTGCCGCCATTCTCGAGCTGTTGTCTCAGCGCGGCGGACACAACACCTTTTTCCCCAACCATCCTGTGGTGTTGGGTCCTCATTTTGAAGAGACAGCGCCCCGCGTCTCCTCCTCCTTCCTTCCTTCCTCCTCCCCCTCCTCCCTCCTCTCCTCCTCCCCCTCCTCCCTCCTCCCCCTCCTTGCCTTTGCTCTCGGCACACCTCTCACACGTTTCGTAGCCCCATAAGGGGGCTCCACCGAAGGCCCCAGTGGGGGTGTTCGCATGCGGGTCCCCCACCCAGGGCAGCGTTTCGTGGCCCCATAGGGAGTTCCACCGAAGGCCCCACTGGGGGTGTTCGCATGCGGGTCCCCCGCCCAGGGCAGCGTTTCGTGGCCCCATAGGGGGGGGAGGGGGGGGCTCCACCGAAGGCCCCACTGGGGGTATTCGCATGCGGGTCCCCCACCCAGGACAGCGTTTCATGGCCCCATGGGGAGCTCCACCGAAGGCCCCAGTGGAGGTGTTCGCATGCGGGTCCCCCACCCTGGACAGCGTTTCGTGGCCCCAAAGGGAGCTCCACCGAAGGCCCCAGTGGGGGTGTTCGCATGCGGTTCCTCCACCCAGGGCAGCGTTTCGTGACCTCATAGGGAGCTCCACCGAAGGCCCCAGTGGGGGTGCTCGCATGCGGTTCCTTCACCCAGGGCAGCGTTTCGTAGCCCCATGGGGAGCCCCGCCGAAGGCCCCAGTGGGGGTGTTCGCAGGCGGGTCCCCCACCCAGGGCAGCGTTTCGTGGCCCCAAAGGGAGCTCCGCCGATGGGAGGATGATAGGGGGAAGGAGGACGGGGAACTGTGAGCGAGGATGACGATGAGGATGAGAAGGAGGAGGAGGAGGAGGAGGAGGAGGAGGATGAGGAGGAGGAGGAGGAGAGGAGGAGGAGGAGGAGGAGGAGGAGGGAGGAGGAGTAGGAGGAGGAGGAGGACGAGGAAACATAAGAAGAATACGGAGGATAACCTTAATACTACTATGAGGAGGGGAGGAAGAGGAGGGAGGGAGGGAGGGAGGGTGGGAGAAATGGAGGGATGGGGGGGGGTGAGGGACGGGGAAGGATGACGGGGAAGGGGGAGCGATGATGATGATGATGATGATGATGATGATGATGATGATGATGATGCTGCTGATGATGATGATGATGCTGAGATTGCTGCTGTTGCTGCTGATGATGACGATGATGGTGTTGTTGGTGGTGGTGTTGTTGCTGCTGTTATTGTTGATGATGCTGATGATGATGATGCTGCTGATGATGCTGATGATCGTGATGATGATTATCATTATGATGATGCTGATGGTGATGCTACTGATAATGATGCTGATGCTTATGCTGATGATGATGTTGGTGATACTGCTGATGACGACTATGATGATGATGCTGACGATGATGATGAGGAGGAGGGTGAACATGATGATCATGAGGATGACGATGATGCTGATGATTAGGATGATGATGGTGATTAATGTTATTATGACGATGATGATGGTGCTGTAGATGATGAAGATGATGATGGTGGTTATGATGATGATGGTGATCATCATGATGATGATTCTGCTGCTGCTGATGATACTGATGCTACTGCTGCTGATGATGATGATGATGCTGATGCTGATGCTGATGATAAGGAGGAGGAGGAGGAGGAGGAGGAGGGGGATGATGATGCTGCTGCTGATGATGGTGATGGTGATGGTGATGATGATGATGATGCTGCTGCTGATGATGATTATGGTGATGGTGATGGTGATGATGATGATGATGATAATGACGATGATGATGATGATGATGATGATGATGATGATGATGATGATGATGATGATGATGATGATGATGGTGATGGTGGTGGTGGTGGTGGTGATGGTGATGATGATGATGATGATGAGGAGGAGAAGGAGGAGGAGGAGGAGGAGGAGAAGGAGGAAAATGAGGCGGAGGAGGAGGAGGTGGTATAGGTGGTATTGAACATGGAGCAAGCTCTCTCGCACAGAGGCGAGAGAGCAAGCTCTCTCGCACAGAGGCGAGACAGCGCCACACATCGGCGACGCCGTCGGCGGAGGCACGCGTGATGGCCGCTCCACGACCCGCACTGCGATCCCGACTTGAGGCTCCAGCTTTGCAGCACCCGCGGAGCAGCGAGAGAGAACATAGGCAGCTACTGCTGCAGCTTCTCCCGAATCACATGCGACGCTGCGGCTGCTACCAGCAGCGACCGATTGCAAAGCCAGTCTCTCCTGGCCAGTGAAGCCTTTGAGGCCGTGGGGTGGGGGTCAGGCCCTAACAACGGGCCCCCGTTAAGGCCTTGACCCCCCCCCTCAGGGGCGCAAGTCTGCCAAGATCCGGACTCTGAAATTCAAAACTGGCCGCCACCGCGGCCTGCACACAGGTACCACCACCGCCCCACTGGCTCGGATATCCCGCGGCCCGAGCCGACGCGGGCAGCCCAGCCAGGCAGGCGGAGGCGGAGCCCAGGCGCAGCCCTAGCTGAGCGGAGCCGCGGCCCCCCCGAGCAGCGCTGCCTTCAGATACGCCGCCTGCTCCTGGCTCAGGCCCACCTCCTCCGACTCCAGCAGCTCCTGAACCAGAGAACAACCTTGGCGGCGTGCACCTCCTCCCGGCTTACTCCCTGCTCCTCCCGACGGAAGTCCACCGCTACGTCCCCAGCAGGGTGCGGGTCTCTCTCGTCCTTACCCTTCTGGCACTTGGCGGTCATGGAACGCTTGGGCTGCGCCTCCGCTTCCCGGTCGTGGTCTTGGCTGCCTGCTCCGCCGCGCCTGCCCTCTGGCTGAACGTGACGGCTTCCTTCAGGTTGGTGGCCACCGCCTTGGGCGCAGGTGCCACCAGGCTCCCCGACTTCGTCGTGGTGCCCAGCACCCGCGCCGCCCCCCGCGACGGCGGAGGCGGCACCTCCGCCTCCTCCCCCTCCCTGCTCTCGGAGAGCTTGCGGTCCGTGGCCGCGACGACGCTCGCCTGCTCCGTCGCCTCCTGCCGCAGCCTGGCCTTCGGGCGGAGCCGCTCCCACAGCTTCCGCCTTCCTCGCCTCCGACGGCGGGGCCTCCGACGGCGAGCGGCCCCGGCTCCTGCCTGTGGCCTTCGCGATTCGCCCCGCGCTCCAGGGGCAGCGCCTCCGTCTCCGCCCCGAGCACGAGCTCCCGCTCCTTGGCCTCCATGCGCTGAGCGTGCAGCAGAGGGCCACTCCGCCGCGAGCCTCTGCGGCTCCTCCTCCTCCTCCTCCTCCTCCTCCTCCTCCTCCTCCTCCTCCTCCTCCTCCTCCTCGTCCTCCTCCTCCTCCCCCTCCGCCTCCTCCTCCTCCTCCTCCTCCTCCTCCTCTTTCTCCTCCTTCCTCTTCCTCCTCCCCTCTCCTCCTCCGCCCCCTCCTCCTCCGCCCTCCTCCTCCTCCTCCTCCTCCTCCTCCTCCTCCTCCTCCTCCTCTTTCTCCTCCTCCTCCTCCTCCTCCTCCTCCTCCTCCTCCTCCTCCTTCGTGCTCACGACCAGCGGCCAGCTCGAGCCGTCCGAGTAGGCCATCTCCGTCGGCCTGACTCCCACCCACACCTTGGGCGGAGCTCGGTTTGCCCTGGCCGGCTCCCCCCACCAGCCAGGCTTGCGGACCATGTCTTGCACCTTCTTCTGGTCCGCCAGCTTCCGAGCCTCCTCGAGCTCCTCCTTCTGCGACCTCAGCCTGCAGGACTCGCGGAGTGTCTCCTGCTTCTGGCTTCCAGCTGGCTGCGCCCCGACAGGAGCTCCTGCTTCTGCGCCTCCAGCTTGCGGCATTCCTCCTGCATGACCTTCTCCTTCGGCCCAGGCTGGGGACCTGCAGGCAGCGGCTCCCCAGACGCCGCCGCGACTGGCGCTTGTCGATGCCGCAGTTCCCCGCGTCGCCGATGCTCCCAGGCACCAATAGGCTCCTCCTGCTGCGTCTCCTGGTCCGTCCGCTGCCCCAGCTGCTCCTGATGCCCATCGCCTGCTTCTCCTTCGTCTCGACCTCCGTGGGCGCCTCCGCAGTAGCTCGCGCGCCCTGCACCCGTTGCGCGGCTGCCCCCCAGGGCTTCTGAAGCCAGTCCACCATGATGTCGCGCGTCAGGTCTCCCTCACTGCCAGCAGCGCTGTCCCAGCCGCCGCTGCTGTGTTCACCAAGGCTGTGCGGGCGTTGAGCTCAAAAACAAATTCGGGAACATCGGCGACGCCCCGCATGGAGAAGACAGCCTGGACGACGACGGCATCTTCTTGGGCTGGGAACTGGCCTGGCCTCCACCAAGCGCGCGGGGAGACCCCCCTCGCCCCGCGACCTTCACCCGCCGCGACGGCGTCGTGCATCTCATGAGCGACTTGCCTCCACGCGGCGGTGCCGCCAACAGCACTGGCGTATTCCCGTCCGCCGTCGACGACCTCGATCGTCACTTCCGCGCCTGGTCCCAATACTTCTGAACGCCGACCTCGAAAGCTGATAACCTGCCGTCGAGCCCACGACAGATCAGCCCATGAGGAACCACCAGCTTCATGGCGCCATGGCCCCGACGCGCTGCGCCCCTTCAAAGTGCGTGCGCCGAGCCCCGAACTCCTTAGGGCCGAAGGGGCTAGGAAGAGGAGGAGGAGGGAGAGGAGGAGGAGGAGGAGGAGGAGGAGGAAGAGGAGGAGGAGGAAGAGGAGGAAGAGGAAAAGAGGGAGCATGATGATGATGATGATGATGGTGATGATGATGATGCTGATGCTGAGGATGATGCTGATGTTGCTGCTGCCTATTTTGTCTCCTCCCTCCTCGCTCCACCCACTCTCCCTCCTCGTCTTGGCGTGGCCACGCATTGGCAAGGGGCGGCGGTGGTCCGTTGCCCTCTGAGGCCAGGTTGTCTTGGTTCTGATGCTCAAGGCCTGGTCGTCCAGGCACGTAACGCCGTCGCGAGTCCCTCGCCGAGCTGTTGTTGCGGGACCCCTCTTCCGCCCACCCCTGCTCATTTGTCCTCATCCTCATCACTCCTCCTCTCGGTCTGCAGTTCACCGTTTCGGCTCACCGTCAATATACTTCGTTTCCTCCCTCCTCGCTCCACCCGCTCTTCCTCCTCGTCTTCGTCCCCCGCCTGCTCGTGTGTCCTCCTCCTCCTCCTCCTCCTCCTCCTTGTTCCCCCCCTGTCCGCAACAAGCTTTTCTGACTCAAGCCACCACCCAGGCAACGACTTGCGCAAAGACGGCTTGGTTCTTCCTACTTCGTTCCAGGGCTTTGTTCTACCGTTTTCAAGCTCGGCGCGTTCGAGATCAGTTTCGTTCAGCGCTTTGGGGTCCCAGCAAGAAAACGGCACATTCCAAACATCGGTGTTTGGGCGCTGCTTTTTATACACCTGTTTCGCGTTTTCACACCAGTTGGTTGCACTGTTACACACTGCCGTCTACGACGTCCTCAGCCCCCTCCTGGCGCGCAGTCCTCCTCTCACCACCTACCAAACCACCCCAACCCAACCCGAAGGCCTCCATTTGCCCTCCATTTCCAGTGGGGGGGGGGTCGGGGAACATTGAAAAAACACGTATGGAACCCATACCCCCCCCAACCCGAAATTTGGGTCTTCGGGTTGGGTTGGGGTGGTCTGGTAGGTAGTCATCCTCATAGCGTCAGTAGCATTCCCACTGTTCCGCGTGGCCTCCTCTTGCTCTCGCTGCTGGCGGGGCCGTCGGGCCTCCGGGCCCGATGGCCGACTGCCTCTCCGGTGGCCCTCGGGTCTCCGAGTCTGCTTCGGGCTGGTGTTAGACCTTTGTAAGAACGTTTGCGGTAGGTTTGCGTCGTGTCGACCAGCGGCCACCCCAGCGCGGGCGTTCAAGGTTGAACGCCGCCGGCGACCCAGAATCGATCGATGTTGAACGATCGGACGTTGCGGCAGCGGCCGATCGTTCAAGGTTGAACGATCCCTGCGGTGTCAAAAACCAGCGCTGGGGTCGGCACGACACGAACTTGCCGTACTTTTTTCGTTTTAAGCGCTGAGAGGGAGAAGAGAAAGGGCGGCAGAAACGAAAAAGCGGGAGCCAAGACAGCAGGGAAGACAATGGACAGCTTTCTGCTAGGAGGCGGAAGCGTTGAAACATGATGATCCACAGCGTCGGGCCTAAAACACAAAAACGTTGTGCGTTTTTTCCCACCTCCAAAGTATGTTTTTTTGTTTTTATTGTGACCGCGCGGACCTTCCTCTCACACACCCTCCTCTCTTCTCCTCCTCTTCCCCTGATGACGATAAGAGTAGGATGACGACGATGTTTATGCGGATGAGGATGGTTGATGTGTTGGTCATGTCATGCTATGCCATGTTATGTCGTGTTGTCGTTGCACTACGCTATGTCCAGTTATGATATGATGTTGGTTGTGTTGACGTTACGCTATGCCATATTATGGTATGATGACTGTGATGTCTATGATGGTGGTGATGATGATGGTGGTGAAATTGATGATGCTGATGATGAGAATTATGATGCTGCTGTTCCTGCTGATGATGATGATGATGATGATGATGATGATGATGGCGCAGCAAATTCTGAGGATGTCTCGAGCGAGGCGCGGGTTCAACACCCCAAATGGGGGAGCCGCCAGGGGGTATCTCACTCCTCCGGTCACGCCAAAATGGCAGGGACGTCTCGAGCAGTTTGCCTGTTTACCAGCTCAACATCCTCCGCTTTCGGAGCAGACTCGGAGGATGTTTCAAGCGAGGCGCGGACTTCGGCACCCCCAAAGGGGATTCCCCAGGGGGTAGCTCATTCCTCCGCTCGCGCCAACATGGCGGGGATGTCTCGAGCGGTTCGCCTGTGTACCAGCCCAAACTTCCTCCGCTTTCGGAGCAGATTTGGAGTCTCGAACGAAGCGCTCATTTTCGCCCCCAAGGGGGGCCAGATGTTGAGGATGTCTCGCGCGGTTTGCCTAGTTTGTTGGCTAGAGTCGTGGGCACGGATCCTCTTCAGGATACCACCGGAGGCTCCAGCAGGCTCCAGGAGGCTCCAAAGGCAGCAAAACGTACCAGCAGGTACCAGGATGCCACAGGAGACCACATGAGGCTCCAGGATGCTCCAGGAGGCCCCAGGAGGCCCCAACAGGGTCCAGGAGGAGGAGGCCCCAGGAGGCTCCAGCAGGCTTCCAGGATGCAACAGGAGGCCAAAGGAGACAACAGGAGGCCACAGGAAACGCCAAGACGTATCATGAGGCCCTGGAAGGCACCAGGAGGCCCCATGAGTCCTCAGGAGCTGGAGGCCTTAGAAGGCCACAGGAGTGGCTCCAATCCCATGTGTTGTACGTATGTTCCTATGGATGGTGCCTCCTCTGGGGCACGAGCCCTTTGTGTTTTTACGTATGGTTCTACAGATTTGGCCTCCCCTGGGGCACGAGTCCTTTGTGTTTTACATGTGTTCCTACAGATTGCCCTTCTCCTGTGGCTCCAACCCCTCCGTAGCCATTTTGGCTCAAGGTGATTCTGGCCCGCGGTCTCCAAGCGGAGGCCGCTGGTCCGCGGACAGACCCAACCGTTGGCGCGACGCGCGCGGGCAGTATCGGTTCTCTCGGTTTTGGTGGCGCTTGCAGTGACATCGTCTCGGCCATGGCGAGTCACTGGCAGTGTTCATGTGGAGAGTTCTTTCCTGCAGCCCGTATGCGCTGTGGTAAGCCAGGATGCGGTGGAGTTCGGCCTCGCGTCCCTCGCGGTGGAGCAGTTCCTTGGCAGGACCGTCAGCCTCCACTACGCGGCAAGTGGGCCATCGCACCGCCTCGCCAGCAATGAGGGCAAAATGGTAAGACCTTCTCTGGCAGCAAATCTTCTAACGGATGGGATTCGAAGGCTGGCAAGCAGGGCTCCGGCAGCAACCTATCGGCGGAGCAGGTCAAGGTCTGGGCCGCGTTCGAACACGAGACCTGGGAGGCCACCGAGCTCACGCTTAGCCAGTCTAGCCGCAGCACAAGGTTGAGGCAGCTCGTCGCGCTGCTGCTCCCAGCCTGGTGGGCAAGCCCGCCCCGCAGCGAGTGGGCAATTTAGCGCGGCAGCTTGCGGATGCTAAAGAGCAGCTTCAGCGCAATCGAGAGTATGCTCTCAAGGCTTTGGGGCGGGTGCACGGTTCGCAGGATGACATCGCGAAGTTTTGGGCGGAGCTCGCGGAGGCCCAGCGCACCCTCAGCACTGACGGAGTCTCGGGCGCAGACCTCCTCGCGGAGCTCTCGGCCATGTTCAGCGAACTCGCCGAGGAGGCGCGCGCGGTGCCAGCGGCCCCCGCAGCGGCAGCGGCGACGGGAGGCCCAGCGGGCGGTGCAGCGCCAGCAGCAGCCCCAGGCGGCGCCCCAGTGGGCGGCGGTGGCGCGCAGCAGCGTGCAGCGTCGAACGTCGGGGCGGAGGTCCCCCCAGGCGAGGCTTTCGACGCGTTCATGGCCAATGCCGATCCTGGCGGCGTCCTCCTTGGCTGCGGCGACGAGGAGCGCGAGCGCGTCAGGGGGGCCTAGGAGGTTCTGCGATCCGTCAAGAAACCACGCCAGGGGTACATCAACGCCAATGCATACAGCAGGTTTGAGGGCCTTCTCAACAACGACTCGATGATGCGCTGCGACATGATCGCGGTGCAGGAGACCCACCTCTCGGCAGAGCGGTGCGAGGACGAGCTGGCGCGGCAGGGGTGGCACGCGATAGCTGCACCAGCCGTCTGAGTCTCGATCGGCCATGCTGGCCACGGAGGGCTCCTGCAGCTCGCGCCCAGGTCCAGCGGCCTCGGTGCTTTCGAACCGGGGCAGACAACGGTGATCTCTCCTGGGCGCGCGGCAGTCGCGCATGTGGCAGGCCCCTTTCCTGGCGGGCTCGCCTGGCCCAACGTCGATCTCAAGGTCGGCGAGGGGCTCTCGGCTTTCAACCTTGGGATCCTTGACGGCATCGCGAAAGCTATTCGCGGCATCAACAAGCCGCTTGTGATCGCGGGCGATTTCAACATGGAGCCCCACGAACTGAACTGCTCTGGCTTCCTTTCCCGAGTTGGCGGCAAGGTGGTCATGCCCGACGAGGGCGCCGTTCGACCCCCCGGCAAAATGATCGACTACGTCGCGGCTTCTCATGTAATAGCGGAGGCGGGGGCGGCGGTCAAGCAAGGCTGGGACTTCTCCCCGCGCTACCCCGTGGAGCTGAAGTTCAACGCCTGCTCGGTTGACAGGTACATGCAGGTGGCGCAGTCGGCCAAGAAGCTGCCGCATCCTCTTCCTCGGGCGCGCTGCTCTGAGGACCACTCTGCTATCTGGGCCAAGACGCGTGCTGACCTCAGCTCGGCGTGCTCTTTGGATGATAAGTGGCGGACCTGCATCGCCAGTGCGGGGTGGCATTTGCTGGGCGCCATTGGGCTGAAGCACGACTGCCGCACTTATGCGGGCAGGGCTCAGCGGCCGACGCTGGCCTTCGCCAGGGCGCCGAAGCCCTCGCCGCCGCGGCCCCCGAGCCTCACGGCCACCACGTCCTGGAGCAAGAGCGTGGTCATCGCGCTGAAGTACACTGCTCACTTCGACGTTCTCCTCAAGCGGCTCCGCGCGATCGACGCGCTAGACAAGTTATGCCGAGCTCAGCCCGGCTTCTCGCGCGACTGCAGGCAAGAGACTGGGCAGGCGCACATTGCTCTTCTTGGCTTTGCGCAGCCGGCCATCCACATGGACATCTACCAGCTGCAGGCGGCGAGCTGCATCGCAGGGGTCATGGCCGACCGTCTCGTGCAGAGGGATGCTGACAAGGCGACGGCCTGCTTCGCCGACTGAGTTGAGGAGAATCACAAAAAAGGCACGGGGGACCTGCGCACTTGGACCAAGCCCCCCCCAAGGCCGCAGCCTCGGCCGAAGGGGCCTGGCGAGGAGGGGCCCCGTGCGCTCTCTGATGTGGTCAAAGCCTTGGTGCAGGAGTGGCCATGGAACTGGGGAATCGCGGATGCGATCGCGAAGGCAGAGCTCGCCTGGCCAGCTGATCTTGGCGAGCGACCCTCCCGTCCCACAGTCGCGGAGATTAGGGAGGTGATCGGCACCTTCAAGGAGTCCAGCGGCTCCTCCTTCGACTCGCTGAGGCCTCGCGAGCTGAGTTCTGGGCGACGAGGGGGCGGGGGCGCTAATTGACCTCATCATGGCCATCGAGTTGAAGTGCGACTGGCCAAGATTCATCACCAAGCTCGCGCCCATACCCAAGACAGACGGAGGCATTCGGCCCATTGCTCTCTCGGGGGCAGCCGCGCGCGTCCATGGCAGGCCCCGCAGAGGGATCGCCGGGCAGTGGGAGCTCGAGCGCGACAGGCCGCACTGGTGGGCAAGCTCAGGCAAGAGCTGCGACAGGGCGGTCTGACAGCAACAAGCGCGAGCGGAGTGGGTGCAGATGATGGGCGCACTTCGCTCAGATCAAGACTGGGCCTCAGCTTTTATCATGATGGACTTGTGGAAGGTCTTCGAGCAGGTCGTTCACAGCAGCTTGCTGCAGGCGTGCGTGGAGCACGACTTTCCCTTCTGGTTTGCGAAGTTGCAGATTTCCCCACTCGCTCCCGCGCGTGGTCAGCCTCGAGAACTGCTGCTCTGATTGACGAGATGGTGGTGATGCCGACGGCGCTGGCGGGCGATGCGCTCGCCGCCGCACTCATGAAGGTGATGCTCCTCACGCCCTTGGGCGCCATGTGGATCGCCTGCCACTCGGTGGCCCCCGCGGTTTGTCGTCGACGACGCGCTTCTGCAGCGCTGGGGCGGCGCCGAGCGCGTGGCCAAGGACCTCGCACAGGCGGCGAAGGCTGTGGTAGGGGACTCGCGAAGGTAAGGCTAAGGATTGCGGTCAAGAGGTCCAGGGCGCTGGCAAGCTGCAAGGTTTTCCGCTTCCAGCTCCAGGCGCACCTGCGCAAAGCGAAGGGGGCGATTGGAGTCAGGCAGGTGCGCAACCTTGGCATGGGCTACGCCGAGGGCAGCAGGCGCACCAGCAACACCAGGAGGCAGAGGATCGCGCACAACCGTGTTCGTCTCCCTCGGGTTCGGCGGCTGCTCGGGCTTCGGCGCGGCAGCGCTGCGGCGGCGAAGATCGCTTCCACGGGCATGGCGCCGAGCCTCTTCTACTGCGTGAACTGCGCAGGGCTGAGCCAGTCCGAGCTTCGGCAGGCGCGCACGATCATGCGCCACGCGATCGGGCCCTGGCCCCAGGGCAAGTCGCTCACGGCATGCTTGCTGTCCGGCGGTGCCGTGAATATAGATCCTATTCTCACTGCGACATTGGCCCCTTGCTTCACCGTCGCCAGGGCGATCTGGGAGGACTGGGTACCTCCGTGCCAACTGCGGTCCGCGTTCGCTTGGGCAGCGGGCGCCGTCAGCTCCTGGCCGCAGGTCCGTGGGCCGATGGGAGCGGTGGCGATGACGCTCCACAGGGTTGGCTACGATCCCAGTGCCCTTGGCCAAATCATCGGGCCGAATGGCGACGTCATTAACCTGCTGGAGACCTCGCCCTGGCACTCCAAGCAGGTGCGCATGGCAGACGCGTAGGCTTGGCAGCTTCAGCAAGTGGCCGAGACCACTCACGAGGACATCGCTCACAGCGCCTTCATTGCTCACATCAGGCGTTGGGCTTGCAGCGGGAAGGGCGGCGCTCACCAGGCGAGGGAGTGGGAGCCGATCAACAACGACCAGCGGGGCTACATTCGCTCAGTGGTGGTGATCGGCCAGCGGCCGAACGACAGGCGCTACTTGGAGGCGCCCAGGCTGGCGCGCTCACCGCGCAGCCAACTGCGCCCTGGAGAGCCTGGTACTCTTTGCATCGGCACACAGGCTGCGAGGGCAGCTGGCCTTCCTTCACCCTGCCCGCGGAGATTGCGAAGCTCGCCCCCTTCGGCAGCAGCGTCGGCCTGCGGTATCGCTGAGCTGCCGTTCGGTGGAGCCGATTGGGACCCGACCCTGGCCCCAAATCGGCGATCGAGGCGCCGGGGGCGCCGCTGCCAGGGCCGCTGCGCTCGATCGAGGGCGCCGAGCTCCTCGGCCTGCTGGCGATCCTCAAGCACAGCCCCCCCCCCCCGATCACGGCTGCCTTCGACGCGACGTACGTCGCGAAGTGGCCCTTGGAAAGAGGACCCGCTGGCAGTACGAAGGCCGCTGCTGCATGTGGCTGTGTCTGGAAGAGGGCGTGGCAGGCCCTGGACGACTTCGGCGGCATTGGCGACGGGGGACTTACCATCCTGAAAGTCAAGGCGCATGCGACGGTGAAGGATGTGCGCGATGGGGTTATCTCTGCCAGGGACCGCCGCGGCAACATGGAGGCCGACAGGTGCGCGAAGTTTGTGGCTGATGCGGTGCGGGCCCCGAGCGACCTCAGACAGGCGTGGCAGCGGCGCGCGCTCACGCTGGGCGGGGTGGTCTTCTGGGCGGCCAGGGCTGGCTGCGAGGCTGCTGACTTGAAGCTCGGCGTGGATCTCGGCTTACGAGCAGCGCAATGGGCCACTGCTGTCAATCACCAGGCACGGCCCCATCAAGCTGACGGGTGGAGGTGCTCGCTGCAGGGTCTGCCTTAGGTCGGCGTTCGCAGCCTAGGGGGCCGAGCGTCTGCTGGGCGACCCGTGCATTCCGAAGCCCTTCGCCGCCGACATCAGCGGCGCACGCCGCAGGCCAGCGGCTTCGTTTTTTTTCGCGGCCGGGGCGGCGGCGGTGGCGCGGGCGGCAGCCGGGCGCCTCGAGGCAGAGGCCAGCGGCGCACAGGACGACGCCCCTGCAGCCGCGGGCGGCAGGCATATCGACCCCTCTGCCGCCGCGCATTGCCCAGCTGCCGCCGCGCCCGACGGCGGCGAGCGGGCGGGTGGCGCGCAGGGCGGTTTCCCTGCGGCCGCTCAGGGCATCCAGGGCGCCCAGACCGACAGCGGTGCCCGAGGCAGCGCGCAGGCCGACCGCCCCGCGGCTGCCCACGGCCTAGCGCCTGTCACGACCGACGGCGGCGCTCGGGGCAGCGGCAGCGGGATGCAGGTTGTCTCCCCTGCACCCGCGGGCTCCGGCAGCGCCGAGGCGGCCAGCGACGGAGGCCACCAGCTGAACAGCATGGGCGGCTACAGGGTGCGCGCCAGATGCAGAGCCTACGCCAAGGAGGTGAACCGCGAGCATCGCTCGCTCGGCAAGACCTGCGAGGTGGTGTCGGGCAACGCCTTGAGGTTGAGGAACCTCAAGATCGAGAACATCCGCCAGGGCCGCGAACCCAAGACGGGCAAGCGGCCTGGCGGAACGTGATGCTCGGCTGCGGCAACGCTCGAGGGATTGCCTTTGCATTTTCTCGCGGGCTGTTCAACGTGAGTGGCTGCCGTCAGCCCGAGCCTCCAGCGGGCGGTGCTCGCAGCGAGCGCCGCGCGGGCGATGCAAAAATGCGGCTCCAACCCGTAGTGTTTCATGTGCGTCTGTTCCTATAGATTGGCCCTCTCCTGGGGCACGAACCGTCCCAAGGAGGCCCCAGGGGGCCACGCGAGGCTCCGGGGGGCCACGCGAGGCCCCAGGAGGCCGCAGGAGGCCACAGGAAGCCTCGGGAGGCCACAGGAGGCCCCAAGAGGCTGCAGGGGGCTCCAGGAAGCCCCAGGAGGTTTCAGGGGGCCCCAGGAGACCCCAGGCTCATGCGCAGAGACGCGCTCGTACTACTGAGGCTCGTTCACGCTCCAACTCATTCACAGTTAGATTCACTCCCAGGCCGTCCATATTCAGACCAGAAGATATTCGAAAACTCTTGCGCCTAGACACTCACGGCGGACAGGCCCATGCTAATAGACGCACATATGGCGAGCTCCACGCAGTGAATCATTTGTTGCGCTTGTACCCCTGTCAAGAGCCCATGGTACAAAAAGGCGAAAAAAGCCCAGGGCGTGTTTAAGAAGAGCCGAGCAAGACCGTCACCCCAGAGCTCACGCCCCTGGCGTGCGCCGGGGGCCTCCCGACGACGCCTGCCGGCAATGCTGGCTGCGCGCAGTCCGCCACGGGCGCTGGCGCCGGACGTCGCGGTGGTCAGGGGCAATGATCGGGGGGCATAGGCTCGGGGGGGGGCATTCAAGCAGTGGCGAAGCGTCCTGGCTCGCCTATAGCCCTAGCAAAGAATGTTCTAGGAACCTTTCGTGGTCTCCACGAAATGTTATTCGAGCCTCTTCTGGCGGAGCCTGTCTTGTATTATCACATCGGGTTCATGTTCTAAGAACATTGTTTTTGTTCTTAGAACATTGTCGGGTTCTAAGAACATTTCGCGGTAGGACTATAGGAATGCCGGGACGGTCGGTCCCTGCTCAATGCCGCGACCCCCCCCCAGAGATCGCCGAGAGGGGCCCCAGGAGCGTGCGGGTTTGCTGTCGGGGGCTGATCGCCGATCTGCCGGCGGTGCATCGCCGATTCTAGGTCGATGTTCCCCCCCCCCCCCCCCCTCGAGCTGGTCCCTCCGATCGATGCCCCGGAGGTGGAGCTCGGGGCAGAGTTCACGGACGTGGGAGAAGAAGCGTCGGCTACACGTAAGCGGTGGCCCTTCGCGCCAGAGCGACCTTTGGTGAGGGCCCGCTTGGGGCGAAGGATTACAACAACGAAGGATTGCAAGGATTGCAAAACAAAACCCTTCGTTTTGTTTGCAATCCTTCGTTTTTTGCAATCCTTCGTTTTGTTGCAATCCTTTTTTTGCAACCCTTCGTTTTTTTGCAATCTTTCGTTTTTTTTGCAATCCTTCGTTTTTTGCCATCATTGTTTTGCAATCCTTTGTTTTTTTTTGCATCCTTGGGCCCCCTTCGTCGTTGGCTGCGATGCGTAGCCAGCGGCCTGCGCGCTCGGATGTGCCCCCCCTCTCTCGCGCCCCCTCTCCCAAAAAGCCGCACACCAGAGGTCGCTCTTCGAGTAGGGGATCCTCCCCCCCACCCCCCTCACCCTCCCCTCCCTCCCTCCCTCCCTCCCTCCCTCCCCCTCTCCCTCCCCCACCGCCCTCCTCCCGCCTCCCTCCCCCCTCACCCCTCCTCCCTTCCCCCTCCTCCCTCCTCCTCCCTCCCTCCTCCCTCCTCCCTCCTCCCTACTCCCTCCCTCCCGCGAGCGCCGAGATTTCCTCATCGGATCTACGAGAACATTGGATCTAGGAGTAGCATTCGCGTTTTCGTAGAGTCGACGGACAAATCACTCCTGGGGTAGATGAGCTCTTTAGTCGATCCCCTGCTCGAACTCTTGCCTGGGGCCACTCCTGCCTGCTGCCGAGAACGGCACGGGCATAACCTGTCGGAGCTCCGAGCGGATCTTTTGGGTCGGGGTTGGCCCCCCCCCCCCTCCCTGGCGCGCCACGGGCGGTGCCAGAGGCGCTGCCAGGGAGGGGGGGCCCGCGCATTTCTTGCTTCGGCGGCGGCTGGGCCCCCTGGCGGCGCAGTCCGCGCGCCAGGGACGGGGGCCCAGCGCCGACCCGAGAGGTCCGCGCGGAGCTCCGAAGGCTCACGCCCCGTGCCGCCGCTCTGTTCCTTTTCCCCGAGGACCGCCAGATGGCCCAGCTGCGCAGCGTGATCGACGAGCGCTTCCGGGCCGTGGTCCAGGCGGAGCTCGGGGCGGTCTTCGGCCCGTGCCCCTCCTGCCCCCTCGGCGTGTCGCGTGCGGAGCCCGGCGCCTGCGCGGCGGAGTCCAGCGGCGGCCTTGCGCGGCAGTGCGACTTCGGCCGCTCGCTGGCCGATGGCGTGCAGTACAGCGGGTCGGGCAGCCAGGCCACGGGGGAGGGGAAGAAGCGGCTCACGAGAGTCGGACTCAGCCAGGAGGACAAGGCGACCAGGCGAGTCGTGCACGAGCTCAACGGTGGGACAGGCAGTTGTAGCACGTCCGAGCCGACGCGAAGCCTCCGGTTGGAAGGTCGCGCACGGCTCAGGCACATGGCCTCCAAGTTGGTCCATGAGAATCCGTGGTTTGACTTCGTGCTGGGCTTGCTGATCATCTCGAATTCCGTGCTCATCGGCGTCGAGACGCAGCTCCGATTGGAAGATGAAAGCGGACCCCCTCCTTATCTGTTCTGGATTGAATCCTTCTTTCTAGTTTGTTTTGTCTCAGAGCTCTGTGTGCATTGGCTGGCTGACGGAACGGACAACTTGTCCAGCGGTTGGTTCTGGTTTGATTCTATAGGCTTACGCCACATCCGCCGACCCCTTTTTTTTCCTGTCGCATTTCGCGTCCGAGCAAACCGTATCCGGTGGAAGACTCCGACGGGTCGTGCGCGGTCCGCGAGTTTGTCTCTTGGTTTTTTTTGGTGCGGTCTTGGCGGCCCCGTGGGCCGTTTTCAACGCCGTGAAGGCCGAAGAGTCGTATATGCCAAAAAGTGTGGGTGATCACTTGGATCGGTCAAAGAAGCAGCTTCTGCGGGGGCGCACAGCGACGATCCATGGATGGGAGTTGCACGAGGATGAGGTCGTTGGAGACGGCGACGAGGAAGTATTGATGCATCTGCCGCGAATGATTGTGTTGGACTTCCATACGAAAGAGTGGCACCTGCCAGGGCGGGAGCCGGGGCTGCATCCGATCTTCCCATCGAAAGGGCGGCAATGGTTCTTGGACGGATATCGGAAGCATCCAGTATTGAGTGTGAAGCGCACGCAGTTCATGGCCACCCCGGCTTTGGCAGTGACGGCGCACTCTGCGCAGGGCCGGGCCATGGCTGCAGTGATAGCAGACCTTGAAAGAGGGCGCGGCGTGAGTTGGATTTCAAATTACGATGCCATTGCGCGCGTGCGGAGACGGGAGAACTGGTTGATTTTCAGGCCTTTCGATAGGAAGCCGTACAACGCGGGGGAGATGCCAGGCGCAGAGAAATTGTTGCAGGTGCTTCGCGGGGATAAAGTGGAGTGGGATGAGTGGGAAGAGGAACTAATGCCACGAGACCAGTGCGAGCGCTGCCGGCGGAGGTTGTTGGTAGAGGCGTTCACGAAGTACGAGTTCCAGAGGAAGGAAAGGCCGGCGTTCTGCAAAGAGTGCACGAAGGAGATGAAAAACGCGGGCGAGAAATGGTGCAAACCGCGCAGAGGGTGGGCAACGAGAGCAGAAAATGACAACGCGGCCGACGGCGGGGAGAAGACAAATAATAGGACAATGTACTGCGCGAAGTGCAGCCATGTCAAAGCCAAGCAGAACTCGCGGAAAGACAACGCGAAGTGGAGGGGGAGAGTCTGCACTGTGCGATGTACCAACGATAAGTGCCTGTCGCTGTATGATGACAAGGCGGAGATGTCGGGAACTCAGGTGCTCAATGCTGCGGGCCAGAGGTTGTGTCGGAAATGCGCGGAAGAACGTCGGAGGGCGACGCTTGCGTCGACTAATATGAAACGCGTGAAATGTGCGGAAGAAAGTGAGAGGAGGACGCGCGAGTTGAATAATGGGAAAAACGTGGTCACATTGCGGTGTTCGAACGGCGTTTGCCTGTCGGGGTTCCAAGAGGGGGCGGGGATGTCCGAAGCTCAGAAGAAGCACAATGCTGCGGGGGAAAGGCTCTGTCGGACATGCGCGGAAGAACGAGAGAAGGCGGCTTTGCTGTCGAATTACGAAGCAGGGAATCGCAAACGGAAGGCGGAGGCGGAAGCGAGGCCGCTGACGGGCGCGGCGTGCGGAGAGGCGTTCTCAGACGCGAAACATTTGAAGCGTAACCAAGTGGAAGATCATCGAAAGGCGAAAGGAGCGAAAGTGGCGTGCGGGGGCTGCACGGAACTCCGGTTCACAGCCCGCAGTTACCAGGGGTAGCAGTGCAGCGGCGCGTGCAAGAGAAGACTATCGAAGTCGGCGTTCGCCGTGAACCCTGCCCATGTCGCGCGCGATGCCAACAAGGGCACCCTGAAATGCAAGACTTGCAAACGATGCCCGATCGGGCGCGCGTGCTGGGGAGGAAAGGGGGGGGGGGGAGAGGGATGGGGGGCGAGGCGAGGGAGGAAGAAGAGGATATGGAGGAGGCGGAGGGGGAGGGGGAAGAGGAGGGAGACACAGAGACAGGGCGGTATGGGCACCCCCGACGCGCACGCGCGCCGCCGTGACGCGCGGCGAGGGAGGACGGCGACGGCGGCTTCCCTCCTCCCTCCGCCCCAAGGATGGCACTCCATGGAGGTATGGGCACCCCCGATTACGGACGCGGCTTGCTCGGACACGACATGTCCCGCGGACAGGGTCGGCGGATGTCCCGCGCAATGTCCCGCGCGACGCAAAAAACAACATCCTGGAGCGCGGCTTGTGCGGTGATTGCAGGGATCTTTTGGGGGGCTTCTCGCGGGACTCTTGGAGGCAGTTTCAAAACCTCTTGGGGGCCGTTTTGGGGCCGTTTGGGGCTCTCTTGGGGGCCTCTTGGGGCTTCTTGGGGGCGTCTTGGGGGCCTCTTGGGGCCTCTTGGGGCCTTCTGGGGCCGTGTTGGAGCGGAAGGTTCGGATTCTCGGTTCAAGCTCCCCCTTTTGGGCCCCTCGTGGGGCCGTCTTGGGGCCCTTTCGGGTAGTCTTGGGGGCCTCTTGGGCCGTCTTGGCGCCCTCTTGGGCCGACTTGGGCGCCTCTTGGGGGCCTCTTGGGCCGTCTGGGGGCGGTCTCGGGGTGCTCTTGGACCGTCTTCAACGCCGTGAAGGCCGACGGGTCGTATATGATGAAAATGTACGCTTTCCCCCAATGCCCGAATGTGGATCCATAGGAGTTTGACGATGTACTGCTCTTCGGCCCTTTCGGACCCTTCGAGGACTGCTCATGGGGATACCTCTTGGCGGCTCTTGGAGGCCTCGATTTGGATTTTTGGGGCCATCTTGGGCGTCTTGGAAGGAGCGCTCTTTTGGCGTCTCGGGGGCCCTCGTGGCCGTCTGGAGGCGCTTGGGCCGTTGCGCGTGGCCGCATCTTTAGCTCCTTTTGGGCCAAAAAAACGGCCGCGGGTGGTGCGCACGTCACCGGGCGAGGGGGGTGGGGCGATGGGGATGGGGACAGGGGGTGGGGGGTGGGGGGGTCGAGTCGGTTGCACGTGTTTGGGGTCCCCGACCGGTTCCCGGGGGGGGGACTATAGGGGGGGGAACTATCTCACACGCCTGGAGACCCACAAGGGCTCGGCTGATTTAGTTCTCGTGGCAACTGGCATTGTCTACACTTGGATCGTCGACCCCATCCTGGCCGCTACGTCCCAGGATCTGCCGCTCGTCTCTCAGATACTGACCCTGCGCGTCCTCCGCTTGCTGCGGCTGGTCAGGGCGCTCAGGTTGATGGACCACTTCAAGGAGTTGTGGAAGCTCTGCAGCGGGCTGCTCAGGTCGTCCCGCACGATGCTCTCCGTGTGCGCGCTGGTGATCATAGCTCTGTTCGTCTTCGGCTGCCTGGGGGTCGATCTGATCGCCACTTCGCCCAAGCTCAACCAGAATGAGGAGACGCGGGCGATCATCGAGGTGCATTTTTCGAGCTTGATGGTGACCCTTCTCACCCTAATGCAGTTCGCCAACGCCGACTCGATCGGAAGCATCTACCTGCCGCTCTGCAAAGTCGAGCCGTTCCTGGTGGTGTACTTCCTCGTGATGTGGCTCGTCGTGACCGTGGCCCTCATGAATTTGGTTACCGCTAGCCAGCTGCCTGGGGCAATGCTCGCCACGCTGCCAGAAACAGCAGCGATTCGATTCTGCCATTGTTCGAGCTTTCGGAGGTCCGAGTGGGTTTCTTGGATCGGCGCTGGGCCCCCCCGGCGGCGCCGCCGGCCAGAAAACGTCCGAAAGCTTATGTTTATGATTACGCAGTGCTTCGAATACTGCTGCAGCAGAGATGTGATTCCACCATGGCTCTGTGAGGCCTCCGAGGGCCACGCGAGGGCGCCCCTCGGCCGCCTTTGGTGCTGCGGTTATGCCGAGCCCTCCAGAGCAGCGTTCATGGAAGCATTCGAGGGCCGTCTGGAAGGGTCCTGGGGTGGGGCCGTCTTGGCTTGTTCGTCGGCCACTGGGAGCGGTCTGTTGGGGTTCTGGATTGTCCAGGGGCCACCTTGGGCGAGTCTTGGCCTCATAGCGACCTCTCGGGGACCGTGGAACCGGTCGGGGGCACTGCTCTGGTAATGTTACGGGGCTGCGCGGCTTCTTTGAGGAGGAAGCGGTCGACATACGTCGTGCATTTCATGATTCGACCTCGCATGACATCCCGCTCGGAAGCCCGTGTACCTCTGTCCTGCGCTGCCGTCGACCGGTGCTCGAATGAGCCATGCGTGGCCAAGTTGTGCCGGGCTTGAAGTCGGGCTTGTTCCTCTACCGGAGGAATATCAAACAAATGTCAGAAAATAGTCTGGGGATTTTTTGGGGAGCATTTTTTGGCCATTTGGGAGCATGTTTTGGGTATGCTTTACTTTTCGTCGAGAATCCTCCCTGTAGGGGGACACGCCCGACTTCATGGCAGAGGTGCAGGGCTCTCGCACCACTCCAGGGCGGTGGGCCTCGCGCCGCTCCAGCTCTGCACAACGGGGTGCGGCGTGCGGGGCCCCGTCGGATTCGGCACCCCTCTCGAGAGAAGGAGGAGGAGGAAGAGGAGGAGGAGGAGGAGGAGGAGGAGGAGGAGGAGGAGGAGGAGGTGGAGGTGGAGGTGGAGGTGGAGGTGGAGGTGGAGGTGGAGGAGGAGGTGGAGGAGGATGAGGAGGAGGAGGAGGAGGAGGAGGAGGAGGAGAGATCGTCGATGCGATGGGTTCCCTCGGGGGGGTAAGAAGCGCAGCTCCCCCGGTCAGCTGTGGCTGGCCAGGCGGGTGTCGGATTCTCATGGCTCCAGGTCCTCCCAGGCCCAGCGAGCGCGGCAGTGGCATGGCGGTGCCACCCGGGCCCACAAAGCGCGGCAGGGACGCACGAGTCTAAGCAGTCAAGGTCTTTCAAGGTCTCTCAGGCCCAGAGAGAGTGGCAGGCTCACTGGGTCTTGCCATTCCAGGCTTCTCGGGTCTGGAAGGCGTGGCAGCGGCATCAGATCTTCAATTTCCAGATGCCCCAGGTTCAGAGGGTGTTGCATGGGCACAGGAGTCTCATCATCTCAGGCCCACCGAGTCCACAATCTTCAGCTGCGAGATCCGATTTGCAACACCATCATCCTGTTGTCAGGGAGCGCAGGCGGGGAACCATAACCCCGGCAAGAATGTGGGAAGCACTAGACCTACTATTTTAGGTCATGTGTGTGGAGGGGAATTGTCTTTTCTCTTTCGGTGAAGCGGGGGGGGGTGTCAAGGAAATCGAGAACCCGTTCGGACATGGGGCAACGTTTCAGGTTCTCGTCTGCGGTCCTGGACCCCAGTAGCCCCCCGGAGAGCTTCCGTGGGTTTGCTTCCTGGGTCTTCTGGATGTTCTTGGGGATGGCAATCGGGCGCCCTTGGGGGGCTGGTTCAAGTGTGCTCGTACAGTTCTGTCTCTCCGTACCCTGTCTTCGTCATCGTTCTCCTCCTCCTCCCCTTCCCTCGTCCTCCCGGCACGCATTTGGCGCGTCGGCGCTGTCCTGTCGCGCGTTTGGCGCGTCTCCTGTCTGTCTACGCGTTTGGCGTTGCCCGCTCG